GGTAGAAAGGAATATGAAAGATTACAGAGATTGAATACATCTGCGCCATTGACAACGATTTTGAGCCATGTCACCTATTGTCTCCAGCCATTGATTCCTAGAGTCCCGAGGGCCCCAACCCGGGAGTCTGCATCTCCCTACCTGACTCAGTTTAACTGTCAAGGATTTCATGGATTGATGCCATGTTTTTGTTTGGCCACCACTGGCTCTTTTCCAACCTGAACCTATATCAGCTAACAATGCCCGTCGGGGGAGGCGGTGGTTAGGCATGCGCACCACGTGACCTAGCCATCTTAGTCTATGTAACTTTATAACCTCGTCGATTGATTTTCCCTCTTTGCCCAACACTCTACGCCTAACGTCAACATTACTTATCTTGTGAAACCACCTAACGTGAGACAGAGATCGCAGACATCTATGATCGAAAGCAGTCAACCTTTTCATGTCTTCAACGCGTATTGGCCATGTTTCAGAGCCATAGAGAAGGACGGAGCGAACTGATGAGCAGTACACACGTCCCTTGGTTGATAACCGGATGTCACGCCTACGCCAGAGATGGTGTAAGTCAGCGAAAGCAGCTCGAGCTTTTCGGATCCGTGCTGAGATTTCATCGCCAATCAGTCCGTTGGTGCTAATACAACTTCCCAAGTAGGTGAAGTGGTCAACATGTTCTATCACTTCACTCCCTATCACTAAGTTAGGGGTTGACGTGGTCCAGTCCTGTAGCAGCATCTTACATTTTGCAGGGGCGAATCGCATGCCAAACATACGAAGATTGCTGCTCAAGGTGTTCAGAAGACTCTGCATTTTGTCAGCATCCTCCCCTAACAGGACTATGTCATCTGCATATTCTAAGTCCATAAGATTATTCCCTGGTAACAAGTCGATTCCTAAGTCACTACGTTCAGTTAAGGATACTTCCATTAGCATATCTATGATGAAGTTAAACAGAAATGGGGAAAGTGGACATCCCTGTCGGACACCACTGGTTGTTACCAATTCAGATGACAATTCCCCATAAGCCCTTACACGACTACGTGAGTTTGAATAGAGTGCCTTGATTAGTGCAATGTACTTTCTTGGCACTCCCTTCACAGTCAGACATTGCCATAGTACTTTTCGGTCCACGGAGTCGAAGGCCGCCTTCAAGTCAAGAAATATGACAATTGTTGGACGCCGAAAAGTGTGTCTATGTTCTAGAATCTGTCGAAGAGTGAAGATATGATCTATGCACCCTCTACCTGGTCTAAAGCCTGCTTGTTAAACCCTTGTCTGTTCCTCCCGAGTTCTGCTTAGTCTATGCATGATTACTGAGCCTAGGATTTTAGAGACTATGTTCGTTAGGCTGATCCCCCTATGATTATCACACGAGGACTTGTTTCCCTTCTTGAATATCGGTATAATGAGTGACTTACCCCAGTCTGATGGTACTGTCTCTGATTCCCAGACTTTGCCTAGTACCTCAGTTAATCTAAAAACTAGTATGTGAACACTGGTGGCTGACCAAAAGCGAAATGGACAAGGCATCAGTGGAATCTATGTGATATCAGATGAGCACTTAGACTCATTAGTTAAACGGGCTGTAAAACGTCAATGGTTAGCGTAACGGTTTCCGAGAAGAACGGTGCTTTAATTACCTGTCAGGATAGACGACTGGAAAGTTGTAAGGAAGACTGGCAGGAGCACTCCAACTGGCCCAAAGCCACACTGAATTTCACCAGTAAGTATCCAACATCTACTTGAATAAGGGGATGTAGACATCAGTCGTCCAACTGTAACTGAGGTTGCGAAAGCTGTCTCTAATATCAAGCTAGGCAAAGCAACGAGGACTGATGAAACAACTCCAGAGGTGTTTAAGGACGCTGGTGATGAACTCTTCTCTCGGTTAACTAAGGTATTAGGTGATCCGTAGTGGTCTGAGATAGTCCCGTTGGACTGGTGTAGGTCAGTGATTATCCCAGTTTATAAGAAGGGAGACAAGTCTTCCTGTGATAATCATAGGCGAATTAGCTTGACTAATATAGTATCTGAAGTTCTAGGCTCAATAATTATGCTCAGACTAAGTGGTGCTCAGAAGAAACAAAACCGGGAAAACCAGCCAAGCTTTAGGCCATCAAGAGTACGCATTGATTGATCGTATTGTAAATATGACAGGTTATTGGAATTACTAACACAGGGGGATATGGAATCTACGCAGTATATTACATGTCACGAACTTTTCTGGATTCAACGCCTTATTACTCCCTAGTTTTCCTTATAAGTCAAAGAAGAAATAAGAAATCCCCCGACCTTTAGTCACCTAGTCCTACCTGTTTGTGGTTATCACCAGAAAAATTATTTGCCTTCTTATATAAGGGAATGCATTTTTACTGTCAACTCACTTGATATCGATAACTGGCTGTCATCACTGAACGACCTTTAGGGAGCACATACTAGGGACTACAAAACGGTCTACAAACGTAAACTAGGGTTTATCCAGCCTAGTAATGAAGCATTCTAACAAACATAGTACATGTAGGCACCAGAAAAAATGCAAATTGTTACAATATCGCCAACATGCTGAAAGGGTCTCATCATCGGGTTGCGTTGTTAGTACCAAATCATAACAGTGTACTGGTGAAATCAGATTAATCACCTCAAGTCTATTTCACACACTACAGAAACAAATCATTATCAAGTAGCTGACTGTACCAAAGATTTGAATATTTTTCCAACTGAACATAAGAGCGAGAACACGATGTCAATACGCTTGTTTCAAGAGAATAAAAATCTGCAAAGACTACTCAACTTCACGAAAGCGACTGTATCAGGGAAACTTATTAGCCCGTAATTAGTAGTAAGAAAACTAGGTACAAAGAATATTATCACAAGTGCTGTGTGATACAAAGGAATCCCAATGACCAGTGTAGAGATCGTTTCAATTGGGGGTTACGACATGACATTATTGGAGCGCGCCTTGTAAAGTTGATACATCAATATTAAGGCTGTTAGTGAGCATTTCAGTATAACTATGGCTAAAATGACAGGCACTTTTTCCACCTATCACCCAAACATTTAATATCAGGTGCATGCTAGGGAAGTTGAAGCAAATTAAAATAATCCATGCACTCGAACAAAGTGAATCTATTTAACAGTGGTACTTCGGAATCGAACCCATCGAGTTGTGAACTAAATAATTTTCGTAGCCAAAATTAGACTTCCAGTGAGGTTGGAGGAAGTATAACCCTAGGGAGAGAAGCCGCGTACAACCTGTGCATTTTTGGTCATTAAATGCATTCCAGAAATACTTAACGAGATGTCGAGTCGATCAATAAGCTGAGCTTCATTATGTACGCAACGGACTATAGCAACCTGGGATATGTATGTAAAAACGTGGGCAGTCTTTCGTTCGAAACTAGTCAGAGTGGGAAAAGGTGGGTTGTTTTCGGTTAACATATATTAACTGGGGAATAGTGGGACAAATACTTTCGGGACATGCGCAAACAGGGATTAAGTGGGATAATTATGTGGCATTTAAACCCCTTTTGCCCACATCTTGGCCGATCAAAATAGCCCATTTAGCCCGCATTGCCCAGGCGCATTCTCCGACCGGGTACCTATCCTGTTGCTAGATATTATACTAATCAGTTGTCACTACTTAGGTACCTACAAAGGACTTGCAGTATCATATCTCACAATATCGTGAAGAAACCTGGCGAGACGCGGAAATGGGTTGACGCACTTCCAGCGATATTACTGTGACCAGATGGACATGTCTGCCATTAAAGCTATAAGCAGCAATGACTACCCCTTCGATATAAGAGGCAACAAAATCGGAACCATAACAGACAACGAGCTTGCTACAGGAGCACTGGCTACCAAAGAGAACACATCTGAAAAAGAACATAGACATGATAATGGTGCACCGATATAAATAAATGATACAAATCAGTGACGAGAACAACCTGCACTTTGTTTTACTTGGCATTAACGACCTAATAATCGGACCAACAATAGATACCGTGAAACTTCCACACCCACCCCATCACACTAGCACTAAACAAGGCTTTTATTGGGGGAACCACTTCAAATTATCTCTGACAAGCTATTTGCAATCAAACAGTGATCTTCATAGTATTAGACTTCAGCTTCTTTCATAATACGCATAGTGGCCAAGGAAAGCATATATATAGGTCGAAACCAGCATTACCTGATATAACAATCATCTAACTTCACTATAGGCGTAACAGGTATCTAATTACCTGCCTTTCAAGTATTTCTCTGGAACACCCATGACAACTGCTCAATTCGACATAGGTGCATATAAAATTCCAGCCTAAGATACCACCAGGAAGTCTACATCGACGAGCTTCAAGAGCTAATGTCCATAACGCTTTCCACATGTATCATAAGACATCTACGTGTGAACAGCTGCAAACAGGATTTATTTCAACACACCTCCCATAGCCATAGCATTCATTGAAAAGCAAGAATATGGTAGTAAACGAGGAAATCCCATGCACAGATGCATAAATTGGGAGCTCATGCTCAACACGACATATGGACACTCGGTGTGCGACATTGACACTGTGATAGAGCTATATTCAATCGTTGAGTGCTTTTTTCCTTCGCAATCCGAGTGGAACATAAAGCTTCAAGCTTGAAATTTCTGTAGCAGTGTTTAATTCAACAGGATAAGGTTGCTAGCCTCATGCCCAAAATCCTCTTTTTACCAGCTTTTATATTACTGACTTAGCGAGGTAGAGGTCAACAGGTTATATGAACGTTCGAAAGCGAGATTGATGCTGTGACAGAGCTATATTCAATCGGTGTTACATGGGCTAAAATACTGAAGATAATGTGCAGAAACAGAAAACCTTGCTATCATACTTACGCAAGAAAAAAGCTGTTCTGAGATCATTGACAATTCATTACAACGTGCGGGACGAAATTGCATATCGGTACATCACTTCACGGCTAAACAGAAGATTGTATCCAGTAGGGAAGTTATATTTAATCACTTATGTTCTCGGTGCAGCCGGTCTGGTGAATTTCACCCGGGGCTTAATTACAATTCTTCTAAGACGACGCGCTTCCCGACTGCGATTTCGAAGGACTTTCCCATGGATAGCACAGCTGATGCAATACTGAAGTTTCACATACAACTTAGGGACTGCATAGTTTTCTGAAACAAATAATGAAAAACGTTGAATTTAAACCTCAAAATAGCAAGAAGTTTCAAAAATAACCATGTACAGCCCGTATCTGTGTCAGGTGGGACTGAATTAACTGACTCTGCAAAGGCTGCTGTTTATGTCGGACATAAGGTGGCTCCAAGTGACTTTTATCTCAGAGCGTATCCATGTCCATAAGTGAATAATTACACGAACTTACTTCCATAAACGGAGGCATCTTCCAGATCCTTGACTGCAGCAGCCTCGACCATGCTTCGTGTCACTAGTTTCCACACAGATTTGTCTTTTGGGCAGGCTCTCCCACAATTAGTACACCGTATGAACTGAACATGACCGCGACCTTTTTTCGACCGTCCATGATTCCTTCGTTTACGTGTCTATAGGGAAACAATAAAGATTTCTATGCTCCAAAAGCCAGACCAACCACCTACCATGCTTGGTGATGAAAAGCCCTCAGTGAAAAGGGTGCACACTTAAACAATCTCATTACGTTGTTGAAGGTTCAATGTTCATTATTCGTTCAATGAGCCTACTGAATTCCTTTAGTAAACTCCTGATCAGTATGTTTACTGCGCATAAGTGAACTGCACACTTTCGAGGCTCAACATTTTAGGTGAAAGCTATTAGCTGGAGGACTTGTCTGACAGTCTGGCATAAAACCTTTTAGTATTAACTGAAACATGTTGGTCCAAATATATCAACCTATAGACTTCTCATAATATACGCATTAATGCGGAAAGTACCACTGGCCTTAGAGTTTAGAGTTGGTCAGGAAAAATAAGAAGAAACAAGCAGGTTCGTAACAATAGCCGATGTTCACAGAATTCTGCACTGAATGGGTGTGAACATCACTTGTAACATGAAAAGTATCTCAAATTGTCTTGCTAATCACTTCCCCTATTTCAGCTTAGAAAGGCGGGGCTTTGAAAGTTCACGAAATCTTCGTTCTATTCAAGCCTTCTGCAAATAGATATGGTCTCTCCTTAGCGGCTGAAAAAATGGGCATGTAGTATTATGGTTGACTCTGCTTCTAGGGTAAATTCAGTGTTACGCAGGTCGTTACCAAAGATTTTGTGCGAGACATGGTATTTATGAATTCATTACACAAATGATGAAATTGCCTTTAAGGCACCTCTCACACAGACGGAACGCAACTGTTGTTATTTACCAAACAGTGTTTCATAGAAATATCATAAAATAGGAGGCTAAAATATGAACTAGAAGATGACCCACTACCGCGCCACCTACCTACCTGAAGAGTTCACCAAAATATTCGACCTATAATTTGAAGAGACTTATCAGTATGAGCTCTTTTCAACAACCAGTGTGCACACCAAGTACGATAATATTGGTTTGGACGATATCTAATAAAAAAGGTGAACATAATTGGAAAGCAAGGTAACGTCTAAGAAGATTATTATTTGATCTATAGGATTAACAACCTTAGCTAGATCTACAAAGTCAGACCTGTCCGGAAGGTCGTCTTTACAGCTTGTGTGTCGCTTTTCTGAAGATCTCCACTAGCCACTTAAAGACTGAGTGATGTGGATGATATATCATACCTAGTATTGTCTGGGACTGTGCACCACGTTTGTGTAGTCCATAACGAGTGAAATATACAATGAAGCGTCTCTTAAGTAAGAAGATTTTCAGGAACACTGACGCATAAGCTTCTGTACTTCCATCCAGATAGAGTCGACCATAGTTTTTATTTTTATTCAAAATGAAGAAGTAATGAATTCACTAGCAGAAACAATATATTCAAGGAATGAGTTATTGACTTCTATTCGCCAGGCGAATTTAGTTAATGAGCACAAAAACAACCGCATGCCATTTCGTATGGAGCTTCTGCGGCTTGTTTGCAGGGCCTTATTTATTTTACTATAAACTATTTGCAATTACAAATATTTAATTCACCAATCTCAATCATTTCACCATCTATGAGAAACCCTATCTGACACCATGGTTTGTGGTAACGATAGACTTGGTACACAATAGGTTCAAACAATGGCATCAAAGTGAAGTTATGTGTGCTAGGGCCATATGCACCAGAGATGTTCATGTGCAAACAGTTCCAAAATTGGTCTGGAACAGCAGAAAATAATTAATTTTGCAAGCATAGATTAGGGTAAACAACAACCACTAGAACAGCAGTGTGAACACTCGGTGCCTTGACGACACAGTCTGTGAAACAGATTTTCAGATTTTCATTATCTATATATGTATGTATACATTTTTGCCATATCTTCTCATTTCTTTGGCCTTCCCAGCTAGCTTCATACATTGCACGTACATTCTACGTCTCCACTCTTATCCTAGCTTTCAGTGACAGAAGACAAATCGGCTGGCTGACTGGTTTCCTGATAGCCTCCTCCAGCTCGCGTCATTTCGCCTCTCCGATTCCAGCGCAGAATAAGATTTTTATTTGAAGTTTTTTCTGTGCGTTGAAGTTTCTCTAGCGGCATGATAGGTCTAGTGGTGTGAGTTTACTGGCCTCACGCCCAACCATCCCTCTTAACCCGGGCTTGGGACAAGCTAGAAAAATAGCAAGCTAGTTAACTAGAAGGGTTAGATTTGCAGATGCTCTCCCCAAAATTATTAGAGTCACGCCAGAGTACTGATGTTCAAGTTGGAAAATATTTAGCTTAGCTATAGGATCCTCAGATCCGCAAATTCGAGGTTTTGAGCCCAGTATCTATCCATCCACCTGAAAAGCAGAAATAGATTTAAGTATCTGCACTTCTAAGCGTGAGGTGAGCTACTTCCGTCATGAAAAAGTGAATAGCATTTGTTAGAAAAGGGGTATATTGGAAAAATGTAGGCAGTATAATGAGTGATCCGCCTTTGAGGAATATACGCATAGGCATAGCCAAGCAGGGCTGTTCATAAGCGTGTTGGGGAAACACTAGAAATGTAATGGTAACGACATCAGTTGGCAAATAATTACGGCTGTCTTGCAGTCTCAACATCAGTATACAGTTGCACAGACTGGCGTTCAACAGACTTCAGCCTCTTCACTGTTGTGTTTAACAGGATAATGGATGTTGTCTAGAAGTTCCCTGGGCATGTATCATACAGTGTTGTAGTGTCTTCCATGTTGAGCGCACTGGCTAGAAACTTCTAAAAAGAACTCTGTTATTCCGCACAGATACTTCCTAGATAATATGGTGGATCACTGGCTGGTTCACATGGTGTGAATGTGCTGACACGTCGAACGTGAATCCATGCAGACGTCGTTTCAACCAACAGATTTAAATACTGAGAAGCATATAAAATTTTCGTAAGCCGGGGTAAAGTGCCATTTGGTGTATGACACTGAGGCTGAGAGATAGGGGTAAGCCCTAAGATGCACGTTAGTCTCATCACAGGGAATATAGTAGGTTACAGTGGACGAAGACGGCATGGTTCATTTTGAAGCATAGGCTGCTGTAAGATATGAAGGGGAATCTGAATCCAGTAGGCAACGCAATAAGGATATTATCTGATTTATCACTAGTTTATTCTAAGGAATAAAGTAGGGGAGTAAGGTCTGTCCCAGTTGGGCAGGGTTTTCCACATATCTCCGGAAACAAGTCGAGCACCTTTACTTCAGAGACTTTGGGGGAGTTGTGTTTAGTGTCAACCACTGGCAGTGTCCGGATGTTCGGCAGTAAGTGTGCCTGAGCACTGAGGCTGAGTACTGCTTGACTTGTCATAGTTGTTTTTCGAATCACTGAATTAAATGCAACTGCCCTGGAAGTGTAGCATAATTCAAAATTTGAAGTAAAGTGACTACGGTAATTAAAGACCACCAACACCACGATGACCTGGTGTGTTTCCATAGTCTGCCATTCTTCACCAGTCCTAAGGATAATTCTAAGTTGGCATACTTTTGACATTATAACTTAACCGTTATCGGCAGTTGCGTAGCCATGGCCCACTTCAAAACGTTGGTGCGTTATGTGACTGAGAAAGGAGTCGTTGTGATAAGTGATCACGCAACAGCTAATAACATAACACACAAAAGTGAAGAAGTTCAATCTGGTTAGATAACACACCCTGAAAAGTTTAAAATTTGATTTATTTACTCCCTTCAGTTGTTATAGAAATAATCATCATATAAAAAGTGTCTCAGCCAAGAGTTGTTTTTTGGTACATAAATAAATAAATTTATTCTTATGATGCAGTACATGAGGGACGCCAGTTTACAGGCACCATCAAATTGTTACAGAAATAGTACCATATTATTCAGTCACATTTTACAGTCGATAGCAAAATATGTTTAACATGTACACTGGAGATTATACATACACCTGGTAAATGTTAATCCCAATAGTATAAAACATCCTTTTCACTTATGTACAATCGTTTCTGTGCATAGTTGGAAAAATCCGCTAGATTGTCAGTGAGTGCAACACATCAGGAAATACAGAAGTATTGTCTTCGCATTAACAAAAAAACCAGGTCTTTGGTGGATGGGTTACAAGTGCCTGGGAAAAAAAATAAAGCTTGAAGTCAATTTTCGTACAATACTTTGTTGTGTGCAGAATCCTTGAATTATAGTTCATTGTTGTGTTATTTGGAAATCAGTGATTTGCTTATCTCATTTGATCTGCAATGTCATTGTTGGGAGCAAAATACATAGGCTTTGGACGCATTAATTAATGGATTTCTACTGCTTGTGGGTATTTACTCATGAGGAGGGTTTTTGAATTTTAGCTGTTCCGACAGGAGTTGTGGATATTAACTGCTCAGCAACATTACGGATATAAGCTCATCACATTATCTTAGGAAAGTTGAGTTGTAGTTGGTGAGGTATATATGATGCCCGACGAGGGTACATCTGTCCATGTGATTTTGTGGTGAGTTATATCTTTTTCATGTTGTCGGTTTATGTCCGTTTTATTCCACTTGTTGTATTGGGTAGAAGTTTTACAAACGAAACTTCCTGTCTGTTTGAGGGTAAGTATCTTAATCGTTAATGTTTTATCTAAAATTATAAATATAGGCAAAAAACAACAGGTGTAGTATTTAAGCTTATACATTAAATGGACCTATAACTTCGGAGGCTCTCAGATAGGAACTAGGACTACTATCGTTTGCAAACTCTTCTAGTTTGTCTTTAAGCACTTTTTGAATGAGGCCAATGTACCTGCTTGACGCATTTCCATTGGTAGTTTATTCCATATCTGTGCATACCTAAACGAATAAAACTTTTGCCTCGTAGCATGCGGGAAGTAGATGTATTCTGCTGTGGTAATATTCTTTTATTGTAATAATAATAATAATAATAATTTTTATTTCTGTAACAGAAACCAGCCATTTTTACAGGCATGAACATATGTACATTTATGAAAACTTATAGAATATATAATATGATTTGTTAATTTAGAAATAAGTTGAATACTGGTAAATGTGAGAGAAACATTTAAAATGAAGTGTACAAATAAGGAAA